TTTTTTTTACCGCTGAATTAAATTACATCTCCCCAGGAAATCATCTGTCAAGTTTCCACTTCGATTCTTGCATCGCTCGTAAAAGTAATCAATGAGCGAAAGGAAAAATAAACAAGTTTCTCGGGCGGCCAGATTGTTGCCTTACATTTTGTTAGCTTAGGCAGTGCTAAGGCACTTGTTAAAAATGTTCGATTGTACAAATTCTAACCATCCATTTTATTAGCACGATAATCATGCAATTTGAGTGGATTTGTGATACGAAACTGTATTTTGCACTAGCATTAATTTTGCTGAGTTTAGAACACAAAATTATTCCATATTTAAAGGAAGTTAGATCGGGACATGATATTACTCTTAAGCAAGGACAAGTTTTCCTACAAAACATAATTAAATTAAATTATTGAATTAAATGACCGATGAAGACGTTTCCATGATTTATGATACCTTCGCATGTGCCGATTTTAACAAACTAGACCTTTAATTAAGGAAGCGGCATGTTTCCAAACGGTAATTGATAAGCACTTTCCTTGGGAAAAAAAAAAAGAGCAGATTTTGCATGCACAAGATCACTTTCCTAATGATGAGGCTTCTTTATTTTGAAGCCCTGGCCAAACGAACTCGCAAGTAGTTGCAAGTCGTCGTAAGTTGGACTCGAGTATAGACTTGTCTCTGTCAGAAGGTTGCACGACGAGTGTGTTTTAGGGCGCATGTCAGAATTTACCCAGTATAGCCTGTCGTTTAAAGAGTGATCATTTGAATTCGAGGTAGAATAATGTTCGTTTTTGATGCCCAAAAATACAATTAAAACCATGTAATCTAGATAGGGCTGATCTTCTTTTGTACCCATATTGTTAATTTAATAGCGGAAGTTTGATGCTTAATTTTCCATGAAAGGAAATAAAAGCGAAATATCTCTACCCATACAAACTTAAGAGAAGTCGATCGAAATACTGATTGTCTACTTTTGCCGTTTTCAAGCATTGAAGGAATGAAGGCCCAAACTGTGTTAGTTCTTGCCGCTCTTTTTCTGCTCGCAAATCTCGTTACTAATAGTCACGCGTTTAGCCCGCCTCTACCAGGAAAGAAAAGAGAGTTGGAAAGAAAGGTTTGTATCGTACTATCGTTTCCCCAAACGTTTAATAAACACAACTGATTTAAATCTGGGTAACATAGCATTGAAAAAAAATAATAAATTTTGAGTGTTCCGAGGGAAAGCAGTGGCTGAAGATAGAGGGATTGTTTTTTTTCTTTAACTATGTTTTAGTTTAGTCAATATTCAAAGGGATATTCCAAGCTTAGGCCTGATCTGAAAAAGACCGGAAAGGTAATACCCAAACGTGTTAGCACATATACTGGATCCTTAGGTTAACGAAGTGTCTCTAGTAATACCTCAAACATATTTTCCTAATTCTTTGGTTGTTTTCCTTACAGCTGCAGATTGAGAGAGGCGCAATGAATCTTCGTGATCTTAAAAGAACCGTTGCATGCGGGGGACTGGAGAGGAAAGCATCCGACGATTACAATGAAGAAAAAGGAAAATAAACAAGTATAATTAAAGGACTGATTAAAACAATGTTATATGACGATTATCACCCCGGATGACGAAAATACTGTAACCTAATGGATTATCATAGCAAACAAATAAAATGTAAAGATTAAATTGAAAAGTTTGTGTGGTTTTGTGTGAATTCGATAGCGTTTATGACTTCGAAATAATTATTCCATTAATCTGGTTTCATCTAACTAAATTCAGCCGAAGAAACAGCCTCACAAACTAGCGAAACGAATAAATACTGTTCTTTCAGCTTATACAGAAAAACAGGAGAATCTACATAACTATAAGGATGTAATTCGTTTTTGTTTTTTTTTAAACTAAATAACTCAATACCCGCAACAAGGAAGTGAAAGAAAGGGAAAGCAAAAACATCACACTACATGCTAGTTGAAGATTTCACCAATTTTAGTGCGATTTTATTAATTCGTTCAGTTTAATATTTTTACAGTACGATGTTTTTCAGATTGACCTTGAAATTACTTGGTGATTTAACAGTCTGGCTAAGGCTGATATTTCCGCAAGCTAGTTTGCTGCAGACTCAAAAGGAACAAAACTGGCCAAACATTAACCCCTGAATATACATACTAATCAAAATAAAAGAAAATTGTAAAGAAAGAAAAAGAGTTATGACACAAGTAGAGCCATAACGAACTGACGCCAAGCTTGAAACATAGCTCGTAAGTAGTAGAGACAAGTTGCCCCGCGAAAGACAGCTTAACAAAAAGGTATAAAATTGGTATTTTTACGATTAGTAGGTCCTTTCATTAGAAGAACACGCACGTCAGGTTAGAAACCACAGGGAGGCAGAGACAAGGCGTCACAAAAAAGCAATGAAGTAAAAAGCTGTAACATAAGCGTTTCTAGAACGCCGTCTTTTTAAAATTAAGCAATTTCCATACAGGAAGAGTCTTCAAAACGTTTTAAATGACATCCATTTAATAGGTGGCTCTTTTTTAAGAACATTACTACTTTCCATATAAAAAAAGAGCTAGTGGAAATGCCACATGTACAAGATTTTTGCAAGGGTTTCTATATTCCAAACTTAAGTAACTTCTGGAAGCCTTTCGCCGGACTTACTTTGATTCTTAAAAAATACGACATTTTTTTTCGGAAGTACAAAATGAAGTCCTTAATATAAATGAGACTTAACTTTGCATCTGACAGTTTTAGATTTTTTTTTTTAAAAAAAAGGGTCCAGTGGATATTTTAGTGGCGTCGTGAATCAGGTGCCCCTGCTGCTAGTACGGACTGCATACCGTATAAAGATGGCACTGTTTCAATGTTGTTGTTGTTTCTAGATATTGGATTATCGTGACAAAAAATAATATTTAAAGAGGTTATAACGCCGAAATAGTTCTTGCGTTTATCGTCTTGTTTGGGATCTTCTCGTGAAAATACCAAACAAAATCTCCTTGGAGATTTCATTTTTAGGTTTCATCGAACTAAATAGCCCTTTTCAAGGTTAAGGTTTCTAATTTGTATAGCAATGTAATCCAAAGGTAAAAACCCGAAATTGGCTCACATACATGTTACAGTATACTACCAGTGATGCCCGGGGGTACACCCAGAAAAATTGGGTGGGGGTGTGCGGCGCGCTTTCCAAACCTTTGACCCTACTTATGACCAAAATTTGCGAGCAGTGATGCAAATGAGAGGCATTTATATGATCTTTCCACATGACTTGTGCGGAAGTCAAAATGCCCCGTAGCTGTTACCCCAAAGCCAAGGCGATTCAAAGTCGTGTTCGAAAACAACTTTTGGTGATAAAAGCACGTCGCCTCACATACCGACGGAACAAGCATCGTTTGTGTCGATTTACACGGTCAGTATAAAACATGGACTGCGGACT